TCCTGATTGAAATTTTTCCATCTCAATAAAATCTCTTCTATCGAATCAGATCCATTACGCCTTCTTTTCACTTTCCTGTTATCATAAAAATCCATTCTTATATAAACAGTTTAAAATTAGGACAGAGAATTACCATACAAACTGAAACTAATCATCAATTGAGAATACTAAGTACTACAAAGTTGGCAAGAGATCACCTCTGGACAATGTGAGAAGCCATCGAAGATATATATATATATATATAAATGTTTTGATTGGAAGTTTTGTATTTTGGTTTTGGCCAATGAATAGTCTTTTTTACGAATTTGTTGTGTATTTATATATTTGTTTTAACATGTTGAAATCCTTTTCCTAGCTTAATTGGGATTGGAATTCCTTTTTCGATAAAAATTAAATGAATAAACAAATAAGGCGTTTTTTTTTTTTTGGGTAGTAACGTGTAGTGATGGTGTGAATTACTTAACAGTATTTACTATGCTTATCTTATGTAACTAATTAATTAAGGGATTTTCCTTGGGTACAAAGGCAAAGACTTTTTAAAATCAAAAAAAAAAATGAAATCATACCTATTAAATTTATATGTTAAAAGCAAGTTTAAAAATAATCTTTTGCCTTTGGGCCTAGGAGATTGAAAGCACGGACATCTATGATAATTAATGATAGTTTCCTATTAATTATCATAAATGATAAATATATTTTTGTAATCATCAATCATCAATGTTTCTCTTTAGAATTTAATTTTGTTTGAATCAATAGAGAGTAGATTATGATGATATTTTATGCTGCTAGCATTAAAAAAGTATTATAACACTGTTATGAAAATAATAATATATTTTTTTGTGCGGTCAAAAGAACACAAACAATCTCGATTAACGTTCAATAGTCTCAACTTCACAAACTATAATGTTATTCACATTATTGAAGGTAAATTAATTTGTAGCATCTCGGATAGTAATTATTACTATATTTAATCCACAAGAAATTTCAAAGGCCTTGAATAACAAGTTATGAAGTATTAAATATTTTTTTTTCTTGTAAGGTTTTAAATTTTTCTTGTTGAATATTCAATATTAGTATTACGTGTGATCTAATTAATTTGTTTTCTCCAGTTATATAAGTATTTTGTTTTTGCTGAAAATTATTTTTACACTATTGTAAAATAATATAATGGTACTCTATTGTTAGTATCGTCCGTGTTTTCTACTTGATTCGCCTCCTTTTAAATAATTAAAATATGTACAAAGTTTTTTGTCAAGTCTCATAGAATTATGCATAATATCGTGTTTTCAACTACATAAATATATAAGATGTGTTCTAATGATGAATTAAAAGCTTTTTATTTATTTTAAATTATATGTCAAATTAAATAATATCACATTTGAAATCAAATATATTTTATAAATTAAAGGCAAAAAAAATGTTATTATCTTTTAATGCTTTGGTGGCTGTCCTGTCTATTTTCTTGGTGACCACGATTTTTGTGTATTTTTTTATTCTTTCCACTTCTGTAGAGATCTTTCAGTTTCTACATTACAATTTTGTGACTATTTGTTTCTTGTGCGCAAAGTTAATACCAAAAGGCCACATAAGAAAATACATAATATTCTTTCTGTTTCATTTTATTTGATCGATATTGACTTTATATAATTTATGTGACTTACTCGCAAAGAGAAAAGTATAATAAGACAATATGAAAAGGTTACCATAAAATGTGTAATTTACTTGCATGGTTGAAAATAAGTACATTATAAGATAAAAGTTCAAGTAATGTCATTGAACTAAATTCAATTAATGGACAAGGGCCAAATATCCTCTATTTATTTATTGTTTTATAAATATCTCTAGCTTGTTTTATGGGCTAAAGAGTAAAGAATGCCCCTCAATTATCACATTATATATGAACTAAGAGACGGATCTATGATTTAGAGGAGTGGAAATCACATCGTTCAATTAAGATAAAATGATTAATTGTTTTAATTTCGAGTTATAATTTGGATTATTAATTTTAAGTATGCGTGTTGGTATTAATTTCTTTTAGATATTCTGAGATCAGAGATAACTAAACAATTCAATTTTTATGTCATTTTTTAAATTAGAGGTTTTATTCACTTAAATTTTGAGGTAAAAGAAGTTTTTTCATACTAAAATTTAAGCTTGTACAAACCATCTAATGACATTAACTTAATATATTCATATTCCATTGAATTTATGTGTTGTTGGAGAATATCGTAGGGAAAGAATAAAAATCTTAGTTTCAGCCTAGTCATCTTGCTAATAAGAACATTAGAGAAAATCGAAAGAACCTTTAAATTTTTTAAAAATAATCTAATAATAATATTCAATCGTTTAAAAATTTATATTTCTTAAAAACTACTATTTAAATATAATTTTAATAATGGTTAGGTGACGTTCATAATTCAATACTCAATAATTGATAAAGAATAAACATACAACACTCATAACAAGAGATTAATAATTAGTGAAAAAGAAAGTAAGAAAACTAAAAATTATTCATAAAAAAGAGTCGATTTTGAATTAATAAAGAATAGTAAATAAATACGAATAAATGAAAAATATTTTATGCCTTTTACACATTATTGAAAAAAACAAAAAAAGGAAAGAAAAGAAAAAAAAGGAAAAAAGACAAAAAAGAAAAAAATGAGCAAGCAAAAATTAGGTGCTGGCAAAATTTTTATATATATATATATATATATATATATATATATATATATATATATAACATTTTTTCGAGATTATTGTATGTCATAGGCTCATAGCACCCCCACCAATTCACGTAAATCCGCCTTCACTTTTGGTATGAGTTCGATGTCTCATGCACTTTATATTCTTCCCCTACGCCCTATCAATTTTTTCTTTAAAAATACTATTGAATCTAATTTAATATTTATCATCTTTGATTTGAAATGTCTATCAAATTGTTAAATACAAATTTTAACTAAAAGCACACCCTTTTTATTTTTTCTTCTTCTCATCTATAGAACATATTAATTGGAGAAATTTGAATTAATCATGGCTAAGGTTTTAAAAAATAATTGGTAGGAGATCGGCTATGTTCTGAGTAACGATTCTAATTTTCTATAATAATTGATATAAAGTGAATTGTTGTATGAAAAAAGTGAATTATTTTATCGTTTATACAAAGTGAATTATTGTATTTATTTACCTTATTTATATATACACAATGAATAAAAATATACAAACTAGTCTCTATTGCAAATAAAACTATAATTATACTATATAATTATCAAAATTATAATTGTAAAGTCTTATTATATCTATTATGTTGACTCTCGTTCAGTCAAAATCTCGGTAGCTTACTAACCATATTTGCTTTCAATATCATTGAGGTCTAGAAATCATTGAAGATCTTTTAAGGATCCACAACATCGACTTCTTCTAGTTATTCATAGTCTTTATATTCAAGTACTCAACTTTTCACCTTCTACTATATCTTCTTTATTAGATATTATAATGTGTAAATATCATAACTTTCACAATTTTCAACTTTTCGTATTCATAACCTTTAAATATTAAATATGAAATCTTATGCTATTCCTCCATTATTTTATGTATAAATTTATATTTTTTGTTTTATAATGTATATCCTGTTCGAAGTTATCCTTCATTTTCACGATAACATTATAGTCATGCTTTTATTTGGCTTGAAAAAGAAGAAGAAGACTTTTGAATAGTAATAGATTTGTGTAGTGGATATTGATAAGAGTTTAGATAATTATAAATTGATTTAATTCTTTTCCCTTCTATTTTTTTAATGATATGTGCATTCTACTAAATATCACCATTGCATTATTTTCATGCTTTTATTTTTTTTAAATGATATATCTATTTTTTTAATGATATATAAGACCGAAAGGCTTATGCTGCTCCTTTTTTATTCGAAATAAATAGTGTCTATGGGAATTCACCGTAAACTCCTTTTCTGGTATAGCCCTTTCTTATGAATCAGTTCCCCGGGTACAAGGAATGAGTGCTCCTAATGTCTTCCTCTTTTTCGATTGAGTGATTCACGTGTGTTCAAGTTAAAGCTAAAGAAGAGATAGTAAATCGATCTTAGGCAGAGGCTTGAAAACCATTCCATTGGGAGAAACTTTTGTTGTTGAATTGACAAATTTTGTTGTAATAAATCTATAAAAAGGAATCAATTTTTACCGATTAAATTGAATTTTACATATATATTTTCTCAATAATTTTTGAGCGTACGTATATCATATAGTTCATGTGATACGATGGTTAATGATTGTTGCTAGATGTTACCCTTGATATAATCAATCAACAGTCAGCTTAGTAATGAACCTATGGAAACAGATGCACATTAACGAGGTTCTCATCTTTTCTAATGGATTCACTATTTTTATTGTTTGATGATAAAAATATTGAATCAAAATATTAAGTCTAAATAGTGTGTGGGTGAAATATGGTGAATGGGAAGAATGACAACAATCAAGGTATGAGGTTGCCTTCAAACCAAATATCTCCGATCTTTTATTTACAACTTAACGTTCGATGTTTGATATCTATTTTGACACTCGAGCAAAGCTAAAGAGCCAAGTATGAGATTGCCTTCAAACCAAAAATCTCCAATCCTTTTTGATTAACCACTCAATATTTGATATTTATTTTAAATCTCAATAAATTCGTATTTGAATCGACAAATTTTAATTAAAAGGGTAGAGCATTAGCAATTTCATTTCAATTGAATTTGAACCTCTAATTAAAAATGATATAATATTGTCCACCCCACCTAATAACATTAAAGATCTCCCACAATCCAAAAGGAATAGTATTACCAGTGTTTTAGGATATTTAATTACATTTTTTGACAACAATTTAATACATAAATTGTTCATGTATAGGAAGTATAACAACATGAATAAGAAATAAAACAATTTAATATAGGAGTGGTTATGATGTTCTCTAATTATGTAAATTTAGAATTAAAAACCTTTAGTAAACATATATAACATTCAATATCATATTTATTAACAACAATTAAGAAATGAATCAATCAAATGATAAGACATATAAACTTTGTACTAAACAAATTACACAAACAAAATCCCCAGCAGATCCTGATTATACAATTCCATATTAACTAAAAAAGAAAAAACAAAAAAGAACAATCTCTTTGGGTTAATATAATTTTTGATTATTCTCTTACTCTACTAATCAATTTCAATTACCTTTACAAGAAATAAATTTCCTTGGACCTCAATACGGTGTCGTTGTACCCTCAAACCCTAGCGGAAACAGCAGCGGGGCCAGAGGTAGGGGCGGCGCCGGCCAAGAAAGAGAGAAACCCAGTTGCCGGAGACTCCTGATCGTCAAGGAAAAGATCTTCAGGAACCCTAAAAGCAGCATGTGTACACACAATTGCGAGACCAATCATCAAAGCAGAAACGAGAACAGATCCGACGCTGGTGAGGAAAATAACAACGACGGTGGAAACAATGAGAACTCCAAGCGTTTCCCGTTCAGAAAACTGCCGACCAAATAGAACCAAAGGCGGATCTGATGGACGGAAAAGGTAAAGAAAAAGCCAAGCAGCGAGGAGACCGGTGAGAAGAATGAGGGAAAATGGGTTTGTGATGAGACTGAAAGCGAGGACAACGGCGAGGAGAGAAAGGTAATTGGTACGGAAATAGGAGTAGTTTTTGCGGATACGAAGGGTAGCATCGGAAACAGATTCGGGTTTAGCGAAGGCAGAACGATCAACGAGTTCAGCCCATGGACGGCGATTGGAGAGACCACCTTGGACGGTTTCAGAGATGCGGTTGATGAATGCACGGAGAGCCGGGGTAGGACCCACACCGGTGACGGTTTGTTGGGTATCGGTGGTGGCGACGGTTGTGGAGGTGGTTTGGGGGTTGGAAATTGGAAGAACTGGTGTTGGCGAAGCGGCTGCCATTGTTAAGAATTTCGTTGGTGAAATACAGAGAAGTTTGGTGATTGATTTATGGCTAAAAAAATGGGGATTTTGGTTGATTTATACGATAAATGGAGGGGGTTGACTGATGGAGAAAGGGGATCCAATTTTTCGTCGGTGGATCTAAGCTTGTTCAATGAATTTATTATTGACTAATCACCAGTAATCTCGATCTCTCTCTCTCACACACACACACACACACACATATATATATATATATATATATATATATATATATATATATATATATATATATATATATAATATATAGGGTCTTCACGGATCGGATAGGATTGGTTATCAATTAAAATTAAAATCAAACTGATTCAATCGATTTTAAGATTATTGAAATCAAATCAAATATAATACATATGTTTCAGTTTGGTTATTATCAATTTCGATTTGATTTGATTATTTGATTATTAATCATACACAAAAATAAAAAAATAAAAATTCATTCAAAACGTAAAAAGATTACAACAATTTATTAAAATAAAAAATAGTTAAAATAACTGACATTACATAACTTCCTATTATTAAGTTTACTATGCATAAAGGATCGAAATTCATTATTTTGGTCAGCTTGAAGCATCTCATAAAGTTGTCATAGAGCCTTATGACTCATATACATAAATGATAAAAATCGATAAGATAGGAAAAATTACTTATATAGAAAAAATGATCAAAAGCCTCCTAATCCATACCCAAAATTTCAACTACACACTCCAACTTCACGGGTGTCCCATTACCCACCTAAACTATAATTTTATCTATTTTCTACCCACCTAAGTGCTGACCTGTCATAAGAAGTGTTGTCACCGCCTCTAGACACGTTTGAAGCAAAATTTGACAAAAAATTTCCTCTTCTCCTACAGTCATCTTCCCCACTTTTAAATACCCATTACGTCTTCTTCCCCCACCATTAATCCTTGTTTCTTTAGTAAAAAAATTCACGAATTTCTCTCAAAATCAAGTAGGGTTTAGTTGTTAATGTTCATTTGTACTTCAAATCTTAAATTTAGGATTTGTAATCTGATCTAATTTCTTATTTAGGTTTCTAATTAGAAGTTTGAATTTTCTCAAAATTCATAAAAAAAATAGCAAATAAAATCTTGAATACGCGTTGTATGGATAAATTAGACTCAATGCTCAACGTTGTAGTGAGATACAAACACGGAATTTTGCTGAATTTGCAAACTTCTTGGTCGAAATTAAATTTGGGAAGAAGATTTTTGTGATATCACTTGATAATGCAGAATCGTCTGATGTAAATGCTCTTACTTTTGATGATGCATAATTGTTTGATGATAACCAAAAGGGGAGTAGGAGATGAAAAGAAGGTTTTTTGAATTTTTCTTGCTTCCTTTGTTCTTCTTTTAGTTTAGGGAGAAATGAGGGGAAAAGGGAGAAAAAAAAAAGGGGAGTTTCTAGGTGTGGGTCCCAACGCGTGGAATCACGCAACTTGATTTATTTGGTTTATGTGTTGAGGTCAGCACTTAGGTAGGTAGAAATAGATCAAAATATAGCTTTGGTGTGTAATGGGACACCCGTGAAGTTGGAGTGTGTAGTTGAAATTTCGGATATAGTTGTTCTGAAGTTTTAAAAAGACACCTAAAATATGCAAACGTCCTATTACCCCTAAACAATTATGAACTAATATTATTATATCATTTCTTTTATATTTTTTTGTTTTTCTTATTATTTTAACTTTTTCTCCTTATTATTTTTTTCTCTTTCTTCCTTCTTTAAAAAATCATTTTCGTCTTAATTGAAGTTCCTCACTTTAAATGTCACTTTTTATCACAATTTCATCTCCCTTTTTACTATTATTAGTTTAACTATCTCTTTAATTCAAAACTATATTGAAACATTATATTACATTCAAACAATTTGATAAGCACATTAGATTTCAAGATGATTAGTAGGTATGATTTAGTTTTTTTAATCCAAATTTCAATCAAACTTTTTCAAATTTCGAAGAATTATGATTTTTTTTGAAATTATTATTTCTAGTTATGAAATTATATGAAAATGAGCTAAATTAATGAGATGATCAGGGAGTATCATATAATTTTTATTTTATCCAATTTCAATTAAGTTCTTTCAATTTTCAGAAATTAATTTATTCTTTTAAAATTATGTTTCTAATTTTGGATTTATATGAAAATGAATAGTTGATGATACATCAAAATTTTTAATTATTTTTTAAAAAAAATTAATTTTGTCATCAATAATTTAATAAAGTATAATTAATATAATGAATAGAATTTGACCGGAGAAGAATAACAAAAAGAAAAGAAAAAAATGGGAGTGAGATTCAATTTGACATGAGGGGTGGGAGGTGAAGAGAAAAAAAAATTAAATGGAAAAAGGTAAAAAATGAAATGAAATTTAAAATAAATTAAAATTAAAATCCAAAAAGTAAGAGAGAGAGAAACAAAACAAAAAGATAAAGGAATTAAAATGAAAAATAATAATAAATTTTTAATTAAATTAACAATTGTCATGTATTGAATGATGTGTGTCTTTTTAAAAATCCCAAATAACTTAAATGGTTATTTTATGTCTTTTCTCATTTTTAAAACTTCTAGATACATAACATTGACTAGTGAAATTCACGTTTACACTTCCTTTTTAACTTCTTTTTTTTTTCTTCTTAAATTCTCTCTTAATTGTTAGCAGTTATTAAATTATTTTAGAACAATTCTCTCTCCAAATGGTTAGCAGTTATTAAATTGATTTCAGAAGGATCTTCTCTTCAGTCAATCAATTTCAAACATCAAAATAGGTGTGACCTCTCTTCTCCATTTTTGTTTTAGTCAAGTTCTTGTTTATTGACAAAAGAGTGTCAAAATGATACAACGAGACTCATGTAAGGTGTTTAAAATGAACATCGTTTACTTAAGGTGAATAAGTGAAACTTCGTGCCAACTTTAACAGGCTGCATCGCGATGGGTTAGACCTAATTATAAAGTTATCAATTAAGAAACGACATGTGTTGAATTCGTACATTCATCACTTGCCTTCAAGAGAGTGTGCATACTCTCTATGTCATGTTAATATTTATGGTGTATTTATTCCATTTTAAATTAGTTTGGGGATAGGGGGAGGGGTAATATGACTCTAGTTATGTTTAGGTATGTGTCCATGAGATTTCAGTTATATTCTACGCGATACTTTTGTCTTATCCCAATATAATTAGATTTAATATTGGGGAAGAGGCGGGGGGCCCTCAGGGAATGACGCCCTGAGGTCGAGGGGGGGGGGGCTCGGGGCACGACGCCTCATAGACACATCCGAACACAATAACGGCCTGCTTTTGAAAATGATGGTGGAGATATGGCCAAGGGTGGTGACTGGCAAGTATGGGAAACGAAGTCATTGGAGCACCAGTACAAGCAGAGCTCCCCAAGGTCTTGGGCCCAGTAAACACATAAGCAAGCTCTGGGATGATTTCTTTCTCGATGACTCCTTTTTAGTTGGAAATGGAAATTTAGTGAGTCTTTTGAATGATAACTAGCTTCACAAACAACCCCAGAGAATCCCTCAACTAAGATTCTATCTGCTGGCTGTGAACCACAACTCAACAGTAGCACAAAATAGAGCTGGAACCTCCTCAACAACAACAACATCATACCAGTAGTATCCTACTAGTAGGTTCTGAATTTTAGGAGGTTGCACAGTCACCCCCTGGACAGCGACAGGCTAAGTCGTTAAGATGTGGTAGTTCAAGTATGGGATCTTAGTCAGTCTAGGCATGTTATAATAAATTGTTTGCTCAAAATGAAGTGGCCTACTACTGGCCTTGGAGGCTGATTTGTGGAGCTAAACTCCCAAAAAAAATCATGTGTTTTACATGGACAACTATCAGGGAGTCAATCCTTACTGAAGATAACCTTTGGAGAAAGTTTCAACTAGAAAATAAAAAGCATGTAATAAACACTAGTTTTTTTCATCCCTGCAAAGTTGGACGGAGAAAGTAGATGCCACTTTACCTCCTTCTAGCTATACTAGACAAATAAAGGGCAAGACCAATTTCTGTTCATAATGAAAGTAAATCAACATTCATCTTCCCACTCCTCCCTCACCTTCAAAACATCTTTTTTTTTTTTTGAGAAAAGGGTAACTAACAGAACATTTTGTTAAGTTGCCTATCTTTACAAATTATAGGAACCATCACTTATTCCTATTTAATATTTACTACTAGCTCAAAACAACTTATTGGTTAGTCTCGTGAAACTCGAGTGGCTTGAATGAATTGCTTGCGACCTATGGCTCATTAACTTGATTGAGTACTTGTCGATTATGTTACTCAGACTCTCCAAAATTATTGCTGCACCCATGTCAGATTCTCCAAAATGTGCTACTTTTGGAGTATTCGACATGCACCCGTCGACATTTTTGAAGAGTCCGAGCCTTATAGCTTGTAGGCAGATAGTAACTTGTGCCTGGTAAAATAATTGTGGCATATTGACAATAGTTCTTAGAAATTCTATGTGGTGTTTTCCTCGCAGAACATTGGAATGTGCTCACCTAAGCATGCATTGCTCTGGTTAAGATGAGTCCAAGTGGAGCAGATTAGATATTGGGGCTGAGGTATAGTTGTAGTAGTACAATGAAAGCAAGCATTATATTTTATATTTTGAGTGTTTTCATAACAAAAATCATGAGATTGACTTGGATCCCAAAAGCAGGTCATGAATATTCATGGTCTAATCCTTCTATTCTGGCTTATTTTTATGTTTCTGATAAGCGTATTTGGACTTTGATTATGGATTTGTAACTTGGTGATGCTAGTTTTTTTTGAGGTGATAAGTTGATTCCTTGATATCTATATAATGTGATTGTCTTAAAAAAAAATATGTTCTGGTGATCTTGGCACGTCTTTCATTTTGTTTTCTAAAAGATTTTCTTTTCCCTCTCCTCTTTTTTTCAACACCGTCTTACTCTTGTAATTTGCATAATTTTTCTTTTAGTCAGGACTGGACTTTGCAGCATTCAGATGAAGCTTTTGGCAACTCATCAATGGCTAGTGCCTCAGTGGATGGTTTATATTCCACGCCAAATGTACAGACTTTTTGGTCTTTTGAATAAATAAAGAAAGGAAAGGAAAAAATTGGGGATAGAGTACAAGGAACTTGAACACACCCTCTTGTTACTGAAGAGGAAAGTAGCCTCTTTTGGG